GATCATTTGTTGATTGCTTTTTTGAAAGTACCAAAGTGGGTTCGTTAAAAGCCACTTCAAATCTGATGTTAGTAGGTTGCCTAAAGGCTTGAACAAAAGTGAATGGAAAAAGCATAAAATTCGAGTCGTATTGAAGGAAGTTACAAATGTCTGAATTTTGATTCCCGCAGCGACAACCTTAATTGCGGGAAATCTGATGGCGCGTTTTCATTCGAATTTCAACCGCCCGCCGCGAACGACCTATTTTATTTTTCGGTTCGAATCGTTGTATTAGTTGCGTTGTATTATTTGGTTGTACACTATCTCTTATTGAAGTTTCGAAAGTTTTCCATTCTTGTATCTTTCTACCCTTTCCTTCTATGAACTACGCAAAGTGAGTGGGATGATGAATTATTCCAGAAATGCTTCAGTCTTTCGAAATTTGCATGCATTTTTCCCTTATTGCTTGCTCGTTGCGTTTTTTTTCCTAGCTTCCCAGCTTACCTCTTTTCCTTTCCAGGTATTAATTACTAACACAGCACAATCATGGTTGCACTAAATCAAGATTCAATCACCGTGACTTCATCGGATGAGGCGAACACTGCTCCAGACGTTGCGAACGAAGAAGTGGAACTTCCGGAGCTAAGCATCGAGCAGTAAGTTTTTCGTATATCAAGTAAAAAACTTTTAGTTTGGTGTTTTTCGAAAGAAAATAGTTCTTTTCATCAAGCAAAACAAATCATAAGGCTTTTTATGCTTTCCTTTCGACTGATGTACACAACAATATTGGGTTTCACATCCCAGTGCATTTGGATGTGATTGAAACGTGAAGCTTGTACTTTGCGATATAGCGTTCATACGTATGCATTCAGTCTGTGTTGCTTTTGTTCATACCAAAATGCAATCGTTGGTCAGAAGATGTTCTTATCACTGAGCTATGTAACTTTATAATGCCTATTGACTAGCAATGAGCGGTACTATATTCAGTCAATGACCGATACCATTTCCTTTTGGGCGAGGATTCAAATGGGGAAGCTGCTGCTGTCTTCCTTTCTTTAAAAAGATAGCGTTGATTTGATATTTGGAAGAAACTCGCATCAAATCGTGTAAAAAATCGAATTTTTTCGAAGTCTCTTTCGCGCTTTTCCAATTTCACTAGTGGAAGTGTTGCCAGATATGCTTTCTATGACATGAGTTTCCATCACTTCTTTAGACTGAAATTGACTAAATGAAAGTTTTTAGATGATAAGTTATGCGAAATTTCTTGGTATTGTTTTCGTGGGTGTTCAAACTACGCTCAAGAAATTGTGAAAAAAAAGTGCCTCGCTTTGTTTTCTTTACTTTGAGCTCAGCTAAATCTTTTGTTGTCCAAAACATGAGCGTGGAACTTATTCTATTATCCTGACATTCTTCCAGAAAGAAGGAAGCGTTGAAGGATCTGCTTGCCCAAGGCAAACGCGACTACAAAGCCGGCGATTACGAAGCAGCTGCTGACAAACTGAGCACTTGCGCCAATTATGCGTAAGTTTTAGTCCATCTTCAGCCTGATCACAAACCTATCCTGATTTTTGCAGTGCCGAAGTGTACGGGGTCTTTGCAAGCGAGTCCTTTGATCCTCATTACTACTATGGACAGTGCCTCATTGAATTGGGCCGTATTGACGCTGATGTTCTGAAGAATGCTCTGACCGATATTCCTGAAAGCGAAGAGGGGGATGAAGAAGCTGAAGGCGAAGCAAAGGAGCAGGACAAAGATGAGACCATCGGAAATCCTGACACGCTTACAGGTAGGTCGTATGTTAATGTATTTCAGAGAGTTACATTCGGGTACAAAGTACTGTCAAAAATCAATCCGCGCGATTCAGTGAGGATAGAGATTTGATTTTGTTCAACTTTGTCATGAAATCCCTTGAAGAATGTCAGAGGTTCAGGAAACACTGAAAAGTTTTTGCACACATGACTTTTTTCTTGTTCAAATCATTCCAAGGCCGGTTTTGCAAGTACTGCGATTTTGGACTAGAGTAGTATTGATCTGCGTAATATCTTTGGTCCTATGGTTTGAAGTGTCAATCTCCCGGGAAGTGATCCAGGAGATGTATACAGAAGTTTATTCAGTCTGCCCAAAATGATTCATTGTGAACTAGCGAAATTGAAAGCTCCAAGAAGCATACGACCCACCGGTGGGTCGCATAGCCCGAAATGGCAGGACATGTACGACCCACCGGTGAGTCGTTATATCTGAATGTGTGAATTGATATAACTTTCGAATTCCAAAACGAAGAACCTCCGTGAAAATTTTTTTGGGTATCCTTGAGAACTTTCTCTGAAAAATTCATGATATAGTCCGGCAAAAATCTGAGAAGGCATCCAAAAGATTCTCGGAAGGACGCGTATCCTAAAAAAATTTTCTCTGACTGCCCCTAAGAGTTCATCTAGACATGTTCCTAGGCTAATGCATACAAATTGTTTTTTCAGTTTATAAGAATAAAGCATACTCATCAAAATAAGATAGGCCCCGATTCATTTCTGAGTATGATCTTTGCAGAAGGAGAGCGGGAA